TGGCAAAAGGATGGATATTTTAACAGCTAAGCCTGTTTCAGTTCTGACAGTTCTGCTATATAGTAACTGTAAATTAAAATTCTGATCTCCTATTAAACTTGCCCTAGAATCAGTGAGGTTACATGAAAACAGAATGGGGTCCTTTATGGTTTGTGTACTCTGTCCCAAAACACCATATTGCACATTTTAGGTGGAAAAATGCTCATATTATTATTTTTTGCATAGTGGATACTTTTCTATTTAGAAGACCAAAGTTAGATCCTTTGATATAACAATATTTTGCATACGAGAAATTCTAATACTGTCTGTATTGGTGTTGATGTATTACTTAGTCGTATTGTTCTAATTAAAAAATTACGAGAACTAGTTAATTTCTTAGCAGAATCTCACATGACCTCTCTTACATGTTGAAAACAGGAAAATAGGGCTTTAAAAGTTAAAAATAAACAGAGTATACATATATATACTTATATGAAAAAGTATATTGTTTCCCAGGATACAGATTAACATAAAGAACATAGCTTTTTTGATTCTATGCTTCTATAAAATCAGAGTGACTATTACAGAGTTCACTGTAAATCTGATAACTAAAAATCTAACAATTCTTTTTCCAGCTCTGACATAAACCAATTGATGATTTTTGTTTTAAAGGCTAGCTGATAATTTCTATTTGTGTGGAGGATGCACTGTACCCTGTCGGCTACTATATGAGCTCTATATTGAAACCTGCAATCCAGATTTCAAGATTCAAGTACATCCATCCACCTTTGGAAAGGTACAAAGTAGATAGGATATACAAGAGAAGAAGTAGGACTCTCTAAAGAGAAAGCCTGATCATCAACTATACACAATGCATATCAAAAGACATTAAATCACAGAGAAGAAAGAATATGTAATGAATTATGCTTGTGTGTTTTCTAATGTATTTCTGCTAAGTCTTCATGTAGATACATTTGTACCAGAGGAAAGAGTAGTGTTTGGGATGGAATTTATTTTCTTCAGGGAACTGGTCTATGATACACTAGCAATGATTTATTTTGCCAATATATTTTAGAGTTTTAGAGTTTTCCTTTTTTAACAGCAGAAAGTTACACAAGTCATTCCAAGGAGATGATTCTTCTGTCTTTAAAAGATACCTTCAGTTGTTACATAATTTTATACTTTCCCTTTTCAGTATACTTGAGGAGATTTTGTTCCAAACATACCCTAAAAATTGTTGCAGAACCATCCAAGCAAAACAAATGCAAATGTAGAACTGAATCTCCTTCTAACAGTTCCACTTTTCTATTACATAAAAGTTGATACAACCCATGGAAAATTAACACTTATAAATCCCAATTGCTATCAACACCCATAACTATTCAACCTTTTTTAACAAATAAAGGAAGATAGAAAGCCTTGTTATTATTTTTGTTCACGACCTTTTTTCAGACTTCAGAACTTCCTATTTTTTATGGCTAACTTTCTACTAATTCCCATAGTAAGAGCTACTAAGCCTTGTTTTAACACAAGCCCAAAATAATTTAAGTAAAAGTTGTACCTGAAGTCAATTTCATTTGTGTGGCTAACCCCATTCTAGGAATCATTTATCTCAATTCAGTTGAATCTAATTTCTTTTTACTGGATAAGTTAAATCACTTTTGCTGAAAATTAATATCTGAGTGAGTGCTCCGGTGTGATTTATTACCACAGCTTAATGGATCATCACCCATCAGCTAAGATTGTGGGTAGAATTTGCCTGGCTCAGCACAGACATTGGTCATGAAGCTTGTTCCCTTAAAAATCTCTACGTAGCCACTGGAGAAAAATAAGTAGTTACACGTTTCCTCCCACTAAATGAGTCACCTCAGACAGCTAGGATGAAAGGGGCCTCAGAACTGCCATTTGTTTTTTCCTATTGACTACGTAGTCTGCAGTGACTATCTTAGACTTCTCTGCCTTGTAGCTGTGTAGATGAGATTAATCCCATGCTGCCTGTACCCAGCACAGCTGATTGCCACCTGTAAGCAAAGCCTTCGTGTGGTTTACCCTAATGTGTTTTACTTTTGGGCTGGGACAGGCACAGGTGAAACATGAGTCTGGTCACATGGAAGAGCTGATGAGCCAGAGCTGCTGTGGGCTGGTGCTTGCAACTATTTGCTCACAGCCTCAACCAACCGAGTCTGTTGCAGTGCAAGTTGACACGTCCCAAAGCAGCTCCCCAGTGCCTTGTCCTTCTGCAGGAAGAGAATAGACCTTGTAGCAAGGAGACAAGGAGAGCAGGAACTGCAGCAATCCTGGTTTCACCTGAGTGCATTTGTAATCAGTTACCACAACTTATAATGGGCTGAGCTATTAATAGTTTACCAAACTGTAGTAACCTGACTGTGCTCCATGTGTGTGGACTGCAAGGGCTTTTGCAGTCCAGCTCCATGTGGATCAAACTATGGTGATTGAAGACACTGCTAACCTGGTCTGCCCTATGCCTCTGCCATCACTGCCTCTGTAAGAAATGGCAGTGTGAGGAAGGATATGTCTTGTGCCACAGAAGCCCCTGTTTCATAGATTGTTCTTTTAGAAAAATGAGATTTTGATAAACTATCAGTTTGAGAAAGGGAGCAGCTGGGTGGGTGCATGCAGAAACACGCAACGAACAGGTTTGTCATAAAAACTAGAGGTGAGTCTTGATGAGTCCTTTATCAGGCCTTTGGACCAACAACACACTGTGCACAGAGTACAAGCTTTGTGTTGCTGAGTGGAGACACTTCTCACTCCTTGCTAACTGGGAGTAAATCCTCTGATCCTGCTATATTGGGAATATTAGAGTGTCCTGGGTTAGTCCTGGACCCGAGTGTCCTGAGTTAGTCTCTGTTTTCACAGGACAGCTCATGCAGGATAACTGTACTGAAGTGGATTATTGCCCTGGCAGTATCTAATTACTCTGTAGAGCCCAAGCTTGACAGATGCTGCATGACCTCATTTCACACCACCAGAGTGGTCAAAAGGTTGCTTTGCAGCATTATTCATGTCCTTTTAAGATAAATAAGTCTGGCCCTATCCTCTCAGTACACTTGCCAAGAGTAAATGAGGATGTGAAGCCCCTTGTGTAAGTCCTTCTTAAATGAATAAAGCTTGAAGGTCTGGCAGAATATGGACCGTCAGGGCACCTTCAAGTTCCCCCAGCTGTTTGATCCTGCCCTGGCTGCAGTGGGTCTCTTGGTGTGAGCACTGTTTTCTAGTGCAAACTATAAAAAAATTCCTACTTGAGACAGGTAATCCCTTAAATTATTTAGCCCTGGATTCACAAATGCCTTATTGAGTTTAGTTCAACAGTTAAAACATGAGAGGCATGTAAGAACAGGTATTAGCCTGGAAATGATGTAAAGCAAGCAAAGTGATTAAAGACAAAAAAGTGTGCCAGATACATTTTTGCATCTTAGAATTAATTTGCCAAGTATCTCTAATTTTCTGCTTGTTTATACAGCTTATTCAGTTAGTTTTCCCAGGCCTGGTGACAAGAAAGCGGACCACAGCAGGGAGTATCAGGTACCGGGTTTGTGTCCTTTCTTTGAAAATGTTATTTATAACCATTCTAATAAAATTTTAAAGTGGCTGAACTTTTCAGCCCCAGCATTATAATATGGCAGCTGAATTGCTGATTGCAAGTCTGTAACACAACACAAGATCCAGAGTAATTAATGGTATAACCAAGGAAATTAAAATAGAGTTAATTCCATGAAAGTCACCACATCAGATCTGCTTTGGTAAGGCATGAATTCCAGATTGGAATGTTTTTTAAAAGACCTTAGTGCTCCAATTTGTACTGGCTATTAACAGCATGCTTTGCATGAAGCATCTGCCAGACATCACAGCCGTACTGAGAGCTCTTCAGACACTGCATCTCTGGGCCAGGAAAGACTGGCTCTGAGATGCACAGGGGTGGCACCCATGATGAATGCCTATATTGTGGTTTTTGTCCTTGGACACATCCATGGAGTGACCCAGCATATACTGATGGTCAATGAAAATGCTGCACAGTTTCAAACCATTTAAATCAGACAGCTTTGGGTCCTCCTCCTAAATGTACTTTATTTTCCCTTCCCTCTCTTCTAGAACATGGAGAGTTTGATGCTTTTCCATATCCAAAGTTATACTCGCAGGCTGAACATCTAGACCAGGAAAAAGGATGTTTTAAGGTCATTGATACTGAATAATTTGACAAGCATTTTGTGTAGCTGTCAAGTATGGGCTTTGAGAACAACATGCCCTTACTTGTCTCCACTAGTCTGGACTTGCTATCAGCTTGAGCCAGGAGATCCTTTACTTAGGGAGTGCCTCACCTCAGACACTCCTAGGCTCCTCCTCACAACAGACAGGATTTGGGATGGTGTTTGGCAGCCTCCACGCTCTCCCCAGCAGCAGAAGGTTACCTGCTCCTGGCTGCAGGTGGCCCCAAACCACGGCACTGTTCCCCTGGCTCCTGGTGGCCCAGCTGGGAGGAGCCAGCTGTAGCACCTTGGTAGCACAGGTGGTGGCTCTTGCTCACTGAGCTCAAATAACTCTTAGACAAGGTCTGGCAGTTTTCTTGAGTTTTAGCTTGCCATGGCACTGATGGGCCATCCAGTCACTGAGCTACTGCAAATGGCCAAGGAACAGCTGCACTAAGCCCTTCAGCTTCCGTGGGGATATGGGGACCTCTGTCTGCTGAGAATCTGGTTCCTGACTTCACTAACTGTCCTGTACAAATCTGAGGCACTCCATTCACTGGTTTCAGTTTTATTTCATTTAGAAGAGGGTATCATTGCGGGACAAAAACTGCTAAAAGGAATTTGTAAAAAGTTTGTGCGATTAATTTCTCTTTGGGAAAATAAACATTCAACAGTATTTAAAAAACAAATATAGTTTTTTCTACTTGATCTTTTCTTGGTTAAATAGAATGATCATCTGCTTTCAAAAGAAGATTATGAATTATTTGCTGACTTGTTGAAAATCATACAGTTCATCTTTTTAAAATTTTCTAGGTATCATTATGATGGAATAGCTATCAAGAAGGAGTCTTCATTTTATGCACGCTTTTGCTGTCTTCTGTATGAACAAAATTATCTCAGGTTTGTTTTTTAAAACGTTTTAATCAAAAAATATCACATGACAGTCTATATGTTTTCTGTCCATGAAAGTCTGTAAATCATCTGTTGAACACTGACAGTAGCATTATATTTTTCTTCTCATTATAAACACTATGAAAGTGCTGTGCCCTAATAGACAAGCTGCATTTCGGAAACAGACACTGCCTAATTAGACTTCCTAAAATTGGACATTTTAGCTATGTAGATCTTAAGAGCAGGAACACATGCTGAACCTGAAAGAAGGGCTTAATATAGTGAGACTCTAAATGGGAGCTCAAAAAAAAGCATTGAAATGGCTTCTTGACATTCTATCACCTTCCTCATTAAACAGTAGGCTGAAGAAATGTATTAAAGTATAAATGACTGTGCTGTTTTGAAGAGTCATGCACCCAATCATGTTATTAGGGATTTTTACTACTTGAAACAGTACTTCAAAAACACTTCATTCACTTGGTTTTAAAATATCAGATTTTAAAATCACCTCTTGTGAGAACATCAATAAGAAAATGTGTAAGACAAGTAAAAATGGATTGCAAAACTTAAAAGCCTGAAATGAATGTAAGATACTATGGCAGGTTAAAGGGTAGACAGGAGCATGCTGTGGGCAGGAAAGGAAGAATTCTCATGGTTGAGCTCATGGTTCCAACAAACAAACCACAGGCTTGAATTTCGTCCAAGACAAACAAAAAAAAAAAAGAAAAAAAAAGGAAGGGAAATGCTGCCATTCTGCAACAACTTTACACTCCTTTACACTGAAGAAACAAATTAGGTACAGTCTATGCCTTGGACTTTGAAGACCAGGTTTGTATCCTCGTTCTCTCATAGTCTTGTACTTACTTTAGTGTGTATATGGGTAGATTCTGTAATTAGGTTTCCATTCTTTAATATGGAGGTACAGCATTATTTTATGGCATGAATGCTGGGGCATATAAGGACTCGGATATCAGGTGATGCTGAAGCTGTTTCAGTGATATATAATATTTACTTAATTGAGTGCATTCTTTGGAAGAACACGGAAAAATTACACCCATAGGTTTGTTGCCTTTCTTCACAGGTTTCATGGCAGGTAATGTTGCAGAAGTCCATAGAGGGACACGGGTAAATGTTGAGACAGGATAGAGGATCAGGTTCTGTAGATGATCAATTGGCAGCCTGTTGTTGTGAGACTAAACAAATTATTCATAGGAAATTTGAGGCTGGTTTCCCATGTCATGCTTACTGAAGTGATATCCTTCACTTGCTCTGTACCCAGTATACCCAGAAAAGGCCTAAGGTTTGACACCCACAATGAGGAACAGTATTGTCCACTGTTTAAGGGATATTATAGGTCTCTGGCTAAGTCTCTGCTGGCCTTTTCTTTTCAGGGAAAGAAAGATGTTTCCCCGCAGCATCACTTAAAAGTAGCAATCTTGATGGGCATAAAAGGAAAGCTGATGGTTCTGGTCATATGAGAGCTGAGAGAGAACAGAATTATTTGAATTGTTGCTCTTTTTTCCTCCCAGTGTAGAAACACGAGGAAAAAGAATTATAAAGTAGGAGTAACCAAAGAAGCAATGTTAGCTGAGTTTGGGGCAGGTGCAGAAAGAAGGACTTTAGCCACTGCTAAGACTTTGGACTGAAAGAAGGTAGGCTTTGATTGGATATTAGGAATAAATTCTTTACAGTGAGAGTGGTGAGGCACTAGAACAGGTTGCCCAGAGAAGCTGTGAATCCCCATCCATGGAAGTGTTCAAGGCCTGGTTGGATGGGGCTTTGAGCAACCTGGTCTAATGGAAGGTGAACCTGTCCATGGCAGTGGGGTTGGGCTGGATAACCCTTGATGTTCCCTTACAAACCAAACTATTCTATGATTCTGTAACTTTTCAAGTTTAAAAAAATATATATATAAAGATTGTATTCAGACAAAGATCATCTTTCTAGCTGCAATAGAAAAGTCCTTTAACTACTAAATTATATTGTCTGATGCTTCATTCATTGAAATAAATTTTAAGAAGACAAGGTGTTGAGTGAAGCCAGACAGCTGAAATTTTAACAGCTTCCACTCTAAATGCAGCTACATGTCCCTGTCCCAAGCCAATATGCAGGCCCATAACACCTGGGCAGATGAGTGTCACAATTACTGCTTATTATCTCATATAGCACAGCAGGAAAACAGAGAGAAAGCAGTAGAAAAGCACAAAACACAGCCAGAGAAGGATGAGTAGCACAACTCTGAAAGAAATAATTAGGTCACATACTAAAAAAGCATCTGCTTCAAACACATAAGTGACTTAATTTCCATTTGTGTGGAGTTTTGTAAATTTTTTGCAATTAAGTTATGAAGGAAATAACTCATCTTTACTGTCCTATCAGTAGGGTTCAGTACTTTTTGAAATCACCGTTAATTTTTCATGATCCAATAAAACAGATAAAACCAGCAATGGAAAAGTCTACATTGTTTTTTACTTAAAAAATTGAAATTTTGAAGAAGTAATTAAAACTTGAAGACGTTTTTTACCTGCAAGAAGAAATTATATTTTCATATAAGTAATCGTATGTATAAATACAGCAGGATATTTGACCTATAATCTCAATTTTTGAGAGTGCATTTGTGTGGAAATTTCCAAATCAGTTTGAAGATTTTTACTGTACCATTTCAGTGCAGTCCAGGGCCAGTCTGTTGTCCAGACCCCTCTAACGGGATAACTTCTCTGGCTTGTTGCCATTGCCCTCGGGCAGAGGCCGGGGATATCTGTTTCTGTAGTGAAGGTGTTCTAAATAACTACTGCGCCCTCCCATGCCTGAATAAAATCCAACATGCAGGTGTTTTTTCTGTCACACCTACCAGAGAGAAAAGTGAATTCCTGAGCCCAGTTGAGAGACCAGAGCATCCATTCAGCCTGTGGGTGGCAAAGAAAAGAATGGTTTCAAAACTATGAACCACTCCTTCTGATTACTGAAAAGGATATTTCTTGACCATGACAGCCAGCAACCGATATGGTGCTGGTAGTGAAGAATTAGTGAGGAACAGTGAAAGGTCTGGCAGCTTGGGAGCTATGCTTGTTGGTGTCACAGAAATGGCAGTAAGATTATTATGATTTGCCTTTAAATACCAAGAAAGTGTTTGCATTTTGATGTTAGGTGGACCTCAGATATGTCGGGGTTGGAATATATTCACACAAGGAGTGATGAGGATGGTCTTACACAGCACTTGTGAATTGGTTCATTTAGAAATCTTCAATTCTTTGAAGATATGTGTACAACAGCTCTGATGATGGTGCTATGAAAGTAGTGTAAACATATGCAACTGTAGTCAATGAGGTCTCCAAATGTATTACAGATATGAGAGGATATGTTATTTACTGATTTGTATTACAATAGAACGTGTTCCCTCTTGGAATGGGAGCTTTGAGGACAAGCTCTACCTAAAATGGTTCCTGGTCTGGCTCAGAGTATAGCAGCGTTTAAAAAATGTCATTGAATTTTGGTTCTATAAGAGTTAGTTTTTTGGTTCTAGTAATAAGCAAGGTTTAGGGTCCTGACTGGCTAGTGAAGCAAACCTATTATTTTTTCATTTAAAAAAAATTTATTTTGCTTCTAGCAAATTAACTTTTCTAATCTCTGTATAATCTGACAGTCAACAGCATGCACATTCACCATTTTCCCTCCTATCATTTTTCTTTTGTCCTTTCCTTTTGCATCTCTGTTATTCTTTATTTCATCCCCATTATTGTATTTCCCATTTTAGCTTTAGTTCCCACCCCATAGGATCACCCAAACTCTGCAAGAGAGATGGTGAAACTCCTTGTGACATTTTTGTCACCCATTTTCCCTTTGTCCCACCCATCTCCTCTTTTGTGTGCTCTGTCTTTACCCAGGCACTGCACTCCGGGGGAAGTGAGCATCTCTGATGTGCAGCCAGGCATCAGGTGAGTCCCAGCCCCCTTTGCTAACAGTGGGAGCACACAGAACTGTTTGTACGTGTTCTGTAGGTATCTGCACTGAGCCATCACTGAGCTCCTGGCCGGCTGCTGGGGCACAGAGGACTCTTTGTCTCTCCTCGACGTCCCTGTGTCAGGGGAGTGGGGAGCCCGGCTGCCGAGGGAAGCAGAGCACTGGAGGCGAGAGATGCTGATACGTGTTGCCATAGCAGCAGCAGCAGAAGATACAGCTGGCCGCCTTCTCAGGGAGAGCAGGGGCTGGAAAATATTCATTAATTTTATTTCACAGGCTTTAGAAATCTGCAGGAACAACCTATTTGAAAGAGGCGTTATGAAACCTCTCTGCTTACATGTGTTTGCTTTGTCCAGCACCACTTCTAAAATGTTCAGGGGAAAGAGTCACCAGCACTTCCAAACATTCTCAGCATGAGTGTTGTGCCCTATCTTGGGCAGCCAAATTTATTGTTTTGTTGGAGCACAGCCTTCATGGCACAGGGTAGGGCAGAGGGAAAGGTGGCAAGGGCCAGTCCTGTGGATGGCAGAGAGTGGAGAGAAGCATTTTCAGTGGCTGGAGTTTACAGGCATATAAGTTGTTACATTTTGTTCTCTGTCCCTTCAGGACGCATGGTGGTACCATGGTTTGTAACACATCACAGCAGTGAAAGTCAGTAGCCAGGGTCTGATTAGATAGCCTGAAACCCTTCCAAACAGCCAAGTCCAACAGGACCCTTGAGTTTGAAATGCCTTCATAGACAGTGAGCAGGTGTCAGCAGCAGATGGAGGCTTGACTGGAGACATCCAATTTTTGCAGCATGTCCCTTTTACTAGCAACATTGCCTCTCCCTCTGCTACCATCAGACTCAAAAAAACAGGCAGGGAGAGAGCTAGGAGAAAGTACAGCAAGAAAGCAGCCTGTTGTGCCTGCTTTCAGCAACAAGTCAGTGGTCAAGCCTTGCAGGTCCAGGTAAATTCTGACTGTGTGGAACACCGTGGCCAACTTGCAAAGTAAATGGGAAGCAGTCAGAAACAAAATGCCATCTAAACTTATGTGTGATGCAGAAAATGTAGCAACTGTGAAACCTAAGCAAGAGGATTATAATGTTTTTGTTATTTTCATATTTGTAATGGTTATTAACATTCCAAACAAACTGCAACTACAAATACAAACCCATGGTTCTGGTGCAAGAAGTTCAAAGATATTGCACTGCTAAATAGTCAATTATCATTAAAATGAATGTTTCAGTTTAATCTTAAAATTTAGGAGTTGGTCCCAGATTTGTTAGAAAATCATGGGATTACCAAATGATAGGAAAGAGAGCGGGATTTGTTTCCCAAATACACTTCTCCAACCTAGTGTAATTATCCAGTAGTGTAGTTATATAAGCTCATTTTCTTACTAAATACAGAATAAATCAGTGAGTTTTCTAATGTTTGTTTGGGGGTTTTTTCTGTTATATATTTTATCCCAGAAGTTCCTGGAGTTCTGAAAATGCAGCTGATTACAAGAAGAATAGACAAAAAAAAGGAACAGTGAGTTTCAGATACATTAGACATAACAAAATATCTGTGTGTTTAATTATAACTGCTATCTAATAGGTTCTGATGAGATACAGCTAGCCCATCTTCTTCAAAATAATCTTGGTCTGGGTAATCTCACTACAGGCTTGCTTCCCCCACTCCTATTTCACCCATTATCTAAATATTTTTGTTGTCTTCACGTCAGCTCAAATAATTTTGTCTGTTTTGAGAGCAGAAACTGTGGCTGAGAGATTAGGTTTTGAATAGGGGAGTTAGTGGGGAACAACCTTCCTTGCCTGAGGCTCATGTTTGTTGTCATGAGAAGTATTTAAATACCAGGAAATTATTAAGAAAAAAGAGCACAATCCCTGCCCACTGAAAAGGGCAGATGTAAAACTAACCTGTGGCAGTTTTCCCCTCAGTGAGCTGTCATGGCCTGACACCAGCCTTGTTGGATGTCAGCCAGCACAGCCTGAGCAACAAACTGATGTGGACCAAAGGGAGGAAAAATGAGAGGCTGGATGTCTGTCTTCTGCAGTGCTTGGGTGCAGCAACGAGTGCTGTGACAATGACAGCCAGTGGGGAATGTGCTTCATCCCCACAGCACAGCAAACTATCTGCAGCCTTATCCAGGGGGTTACGAGTGTGACATGAGTGCTATAGAAAATACATATGGAAGGTATGCATAACATTAAATATTTACTGGTTTTGAAAAGAAATTAATGTATCGTTTAGGATTTAAGTATTTTGGCAGCCCTTCTTGTTTCTTTCACCCACTCCTACTTTCTAAATAAAGACAAACATTTATCTAAAGAAATACATCTTATTATAAAATCACATCCTACAGTTTCAAGAAAATACTTAATACCTTTAACCAAACTGACAAAGTAATTGCAATTTTTTTTATTATTTTCCAAAATAAATTCCGACGCATCAAGAGTAAGAATTTGCAGTATTATCCATCTGTAATTTATCTGAAGACTGAACAAGAGACATTTCATTACCTTTCTCCTGATTTCAACCAGTTCTTCTTTGGAGAGCAAGCACAAAGTGAGACATACCCCTATGAACTGGTACGTTCAAAGTACATGGCCATAAAACAAGTTAGCTCTTTTCCTGTGAGATCATTTTGTACCCTCTCTTTGGTAACAGATTGCACTGCTTGCCAATGACTACTACAACTACTGTCAAGTTATTTTACAAATGGTGAGAGAGACCAAGCTTGACAAGGTATGCCTTTTCTGTAATAACTGACAATAGCAAACAACTGTAAAGGCAAAATCGTTCTGTGCAGCTTATTTACTTGATGGTTTGAGCTAAGGTAGATGATGATTTATGGACAAAAGGAACATTCAGTCAAGTTATTTTAAAATTCTGAATTAACACAACATACTCCAAGAATCTGAGTTTGTAAGCATATCCTGAGCCCTCCTGGCACATCAATAAGTCTCAGCTGAGCACATAACACATAGCCATGGATACATATCTTTAATTACATCCTCATATCCATGGCACAGTTCTTTGTTTCTTTCTCCTTTGTACACTGCCTGGTGAGGCTCAGCTTATTGCAGCTTCCTCAGCAAACTTCCACTTACACTGGAGCCCAGACAGGCTGGGCCCGGGCAAAGAGCTCATCTCTATAGCCATTCATTTGTTTCTGTGTTTGTGTATTGTCTTACTGAATTGTACTTCACATTCCACAAGTGTAAAATCAGTGAAAATTCATAAAGGGCTTTGTGTGACAGGTGGAAGATTGTATCATGTCATTCTGGACATCTCTGCAGCCTGAAAGAATAGAATTGATGTGCCTGCCAGATGTGTGCCAGCTGCTAAAAAGTTATGATAGGTATCTATTCAAGGTACTGCACATACATTTGCTTGTTATAATTATGCTGTTACATGTTTGTGTCTTTTTGGTAGTTCTAAGGAGAAGGGCCCTCTCTTTTTTAGTGCTGTACAATGGGATTTTCGTTTATTCCTCAACTCTTATCTTTTGGCTTCTTCTGAGATAGTCCAGTGTGGGTTTTGGTTTTGAGGGGAGCAAGTGAAATTTGGGATAGCTTCCATTTTGCTCCTATATATTAATTTGAAAGTTCCTAATATCAATGGAGTGTGCTGTTATAAATGTGGTCTGTGCTTCCGGCATGAGGTTATATGACTCAAATTTCAGCTGCTGATGGTTTTCCAGATTATGAGAGGTACTTTTCCTTTGAGAACACGACTGCACGACCTTCCACATAGAAATATGCAGTTTTCTGTTAAAAATATTTCGCTTATTTCCAGCAGGTCATAAAGTATTGTCTAGAAATTAATTCAGGAAGCAACTCTGATTTACTCTTAGCAACTCTAATTTACTCTTAGGATCTTTGTCCTTCTGCTAAAAAAGGCAGCTTGGGTCTTGCTTAATTGTAAGAAAAAAATGGGTTTCTTTACACTTATATTTAAATTATCAATACAATTTTATTTCATGCTGCTGTGAATATCTGTGGTACACCAGTCGAGTGCAGTAGCATCAATTTGTATTCTAGGAATTGGAGAACATCCTACTTCCTGATTTCCTGGAGGAGGTGCCTGCACAACACATAGACTCAATCAGATCATTCAGTGAAAATGTTAAATGCTGGATGCTTAATCCTTTGGGAGGTTTTCCATTACTGCTCCAAACATCCAAGTCTAATGGTAGGTTTGAGTAAGAGAGATATTTTCAAAAATAATCTTTGGTTAAACTGCAGAGAAGATTGTATTACAAAACTCTTAAATTATTTTTTAAAAGTTTAGCTGATGCAACAGTGATAGTAGCAACAACTAGAGTTACTTGGGACACTGTTAAAAATGGTCTTGCACGATGTGTGAGAACAAACTTAAGCCAAAAGTATTCCCAATTCATGGTAAATTGAAATTTACTTAAATCTTTTTACCAATCTGTCTCTTGCCATGATTTCTTTGGCTGTGTAGACGACCAATAACATGCAGCATGCCCACTGAAACTCAGATATTATTGTGTTTCTTCCTCTTACAAGTGGCTTTTTGCTGATGAATGAATTAGTGGCTGCAGCAGTCCAATACAAAAAGAAAAAAGCCACAGTCCCATAGGAAAAATGTGACTGATATTAGAAGATGCTAGGAGAAAGTCTGCTTTCTACAAAGCTGTGCTATATGTGTGTGTTTGTAAATATGTACATACACACATATTTATACCTATTAAACTGAAAATTCTGACTAAAACATGTTGCTTAGTTGCTCATTAAGTGAAGACCAACTCCATAGTGGGAAAGCAGGGCTCCTGTGTAGGCAAAAGTTTGTGTTAGGATTCATATGCTCAATATTGCAGACAGACTTAATTTTGGCATTTCTTACATTTGAGAGCAAACATAGTAATGTGTTTTTAATATGTGTGTGCATAGAAGTGTATGTAATTAACCAGCTGTGACCCTATGTATATACATCCTGGTCTTTCTGGTTTGTACAAACATCACAGAAACACAAATTTTCACTTGAAAATCAGTGTCTGCCTACAGAAGTAGCTTTATACTTGATTTTCCTGTAACTGAGAAACAGTTATTTTACTCTGAGGAAGGGTATTCTTGGACCATGCTTTTCATAATTACATGTAACATATTATAAACAAGATAAAAGTAGAACAAAAGAAGCTAACTGGTATCAACAGTTCTGCAGAATTATAGATGCATAGAGATGGAAATGTAAACAAAATACAGCAGGTTTATATTTAACATTACTTTTATTCACCTGAAACCATACAAGTAAAAGAGCATTAGTCTTAATTAGGAAGTATTAAATGTAAGAAAATATTGAAAGACTTTTTCCTGTACATCATGGGTTAATAGATTCACAGTGAAGGAAAAGTGGTGAGCTGGGCAGCTTCTCCTTGCAAGCTTTGACTGCAAGGGTCCCCAGCCCATCCCATAATGCTCACTCAATGCCCCTGCTGTGCCCTTATTACCCTCCAAATCTCCCCTAGGGAGCTACTTTCTAACTTAAAAGATCTGGCTTCATTAATGTATTTTAGACTTTAAAATATTAATGATGTAAAACATCTGCCTCTTCTTCTTTAACAGAAGCTAGAGAGTTTGTAAAAAGGCTCAGGAGACAGACAGACCTTTGCAACATGGTCAAGGTATGTTCCAGAATTCATGAAAGAACTGCTGGGAATCTCATTGCTGCCAGCAGTTTGCACTATTTTTGAAATGTTCCATCATAGAAGAAGTGCAGCAGCATGGATGTTCTTACCTGTACACTGACCATGTCATGTTCACACTCCTACCCATCTCTTCCCACACTGTTAAGCATGCTGAGGGAGCATCTTCCTCCCTCTAGATTCTTCTGAAAAAGCCTCTGAGACGAAGTTGATGGTATTCCATAGAGAGGAGAACACAGTATTTGGAAGGGTCAGATGACAGTTTCCAGTATCTTTGCCCATCCATGCCAAAGTCAGTCAAGAGCACATGCTATAGCATTCCTTCCATTGGTGTCCTTGGATCCCTCCAAATCCTTGGGTTTTGAGGTGGTCTAATAGCAGAAAAAGGAAGGTCACAAATAGGAAAGAAAGCAAAAGAGAACAGGTGGTATATCCTCTCCTTCAAACGTGTACAATATTTTCCCAATATGTCATCTGATTTTAATCATCACTCAGATGGAAGAAGGGAAGCAGGGAGAAAACAAGGGAGGGAGGAAGGGAGGGACAGGAGGAACTGCAGCTTCTTGGACCACTAAATGTAGCTTTTCTTTATGGGAAAACTTCATCACCATCAGCATACAAAACACACCCTCCGCTTACTTTCAAAACTAAAAAAAATTCCAAAAACCAAAAAACAAAACCAAAAAACCCAGACATGCATAAGGATGCTTACTCAGGCAAAAAGTTGACTTCCATGAAGTACTGAGCACTCACAGTTTCCATTTACTGCAGCAGCTCTTGGAGATAATAATACCTGAAAATCTCAGCTTTATGTGCTTCGAAGCAGATCTTCTTATGCATTGAAAAGCATGGTCCAGCAAGATCATGAGTGTCACCTATTTCCAGACGTTTGCATTTGATTTGCATACTCAGGCTTCAAATCATCCTTCTTCAAGTCATGATGTTGAAGGGCTGGCTCTTTCAGTCTTCCCTATTCTTAACGTGTGGAAAAGCTGTGGAGTCAAAATTGGATTTAAACCCTCAAGATTTAGGGCAAGAGAATTGCAGCAATTGGGGGAAATTCTCTAGAAGAAGACTCTGGATGCTCTACATCCCTTTCACACTGTTTAACACACAAATTGAACGCAGCAGACCTGAGAATCAGGGCTGAATTTACACTTTCAACTTTCACAAGTAGATGTTGTTTGTACCTTCTCTAGAGCCTCTTCAAAACACAAGGGAAAAGTAAAAGAGTTTTACTGTATTTGACATTTTGGGGGTAGTGAGCTCCAAGGTTTAATTATCTGTTGTATAAAAAAATACTTTCATTATTTTAAAATCTCTACCCTTCAAGCTACACTTCCCACAGACTTCCATCACATCCTTCCTCAGTTATTTCCCTCTGAAGTTTATCTCATCTTCTCACACGGGAGTCATTTGATATTTCTAATCAACCTTCTCAGTTTTCTGTCTAAAATGCATCTGGAATTTCAACTAAAGACTAGTCAGAGCAGGCGAGAGAGCTCCTGATGAGAAGTGCTAGAGAGGCACTGTGCAGCTGCAACCTCTGAACCCTGTAACCACACCGTCCCTTGTAGAGTACTTTGCAATAATTCTGCAGTCTGGTGAGAAAGCAAGAACAATTTTGGCAGGGTCAACATTCAAAAGATAAAAGGTAACTTTCTCACCATGTGTAGATAAAGCAGGCTGGCAGCTGCTACTACCTGGACATGTAGAAATAATTAGAGCATAAAAAGGTGCAAATTCTCTGTGAGACAAGAATGTGAATATGATGCTTGTCATTTTCTGGGGCTGATTCCTGAGTCTAGAAAGTTGTATTTGGGTGTTGAGAGGGCTGGATTTTAGAGAATCATGTTTAGTATTGTGAAATCCAATGGCTGAAGGGGGCCAGTCTGAAGTGTTGGGGAAAGGAGTCAGGTATTAGCAGCCTACTGAAGATGCTGCTCCAGCAGTTCCCAGCCTTTGGGTCATGTATTCTTTTTATAGGCTCTTTTTCTGTCACTGGAAACTCCAAGTCAAATAAGAAAAATGCTTTTTCTTTCACTTATATGAAGGAGATTGCTGAGTGAGAATCAGATTGGGTTTAGTTTTTCAAAAAAGTTAGCAGAGTGATGAAAAATAGCTGTATGGGTAATCTTTGCAAAGAAATGGTCAGCTGCATGCATTGCTGCTTGTGGGGTCATGCTAAGCATCTGATGAATGGGATTTGTTAAAACATGTATGAATCCTGAAGTTTTCTGGAATTTTATAAACCATATTTTTCCTCTGAAAAGCCCAACTGGACAAGAGTTATCCACAGAAAAGTCTGAGGTCCAAAAAAGGCTTTAGGATCTTATTGATTTCACTAAGTGAGAGACTAAATGTATTTGTTAACAAAATTTAATGGATTCAGATTTAGTTTCCTTGACTGTTTTCATAGTTTCATCAAGAATCTTAAGGAATATTGTATGATAATAGCAACTAATTTTAAAAAGTGAAGAGATGATGATAAATGTTAGTCTGAATTGTTTGCAGTATTTGAATAGTACTTTTTGAGACAAATAGGAAGTCAGATTTATTCACAAATTACTCATAAGCAGATAAATGGTATAAAATACCAACTACTATTGTTTTAACTAACATAGTATTTCTAATGTTATTTTTACTCTCTCAAAGACTTAAGCAACTTGAGAAAACTTGCCTTTGAATTAAATTGCAACATGAATTAAGGACAGATAACACCGAGGGAAAGTCATCCCTGATACACCATTCCATGCTTTTGACAAAATATCATTATTTAGTGTAATTATAATAACTCTAAGCAAAGCCAATTGCCCAGGCAATTCCCCAGATAATTGAAGTATGTTAGCCTTGTCTGCTCCATTACAGACAACATAGAGCATCATTGAAAAGAACATCTCCCAGAACAAAACTCTCTTCAAGACGACTTCAGATTTATCTCCTTTGATCCTGTAACCCCCTCCACGCCCCCAGTTTGCAGACTGGTCATATGAAGCCTAGTATTGAATAAGGGAAGCTTTCCTTTTTCAATGCCCTTATTTGGCTGAGTTAAGGCCTTGAGAAAATGAAAGGCATTAACTGCTTTTTTATTCTCTACAGACAGTAAGAGCACTCTTGAACAACAACAGCACAGTCACTGTTCTGCGATCCGGCTTGCATGCCATCTTCAATGAGAAATCTCTGGATGTGACTAAAGACCTCTTTCTAGAGAAGTTTAGGAATCCAAAGAAGCGACAGAAAAACATACAATTAAAATGTAATGAATTTTTGCTATTTATTGTCTTTCCTCTTAAGCACTAGCATGCCATTGTTAAAGGTCCTCTTGTTTATTCATGATATCTGCCTTACTGGGAATTACAGTCTTCCTGTAATCTGAAAGACTAGAAAAGAACCAATAAAAATGAGAATGGAGCATGAGATAATATCCTCCTAACCTTAAAGGTTAAGAATTAAAGGCTTTTGTTTCTGATTCTCTTAAAGCTTTTTGTGACAGCAGGAGTGGAGTTTGTGCTACTGAATTATATATCTCTTAAAAGAAGGTTAACAAGCAGGGATATTTTTTCATGGTTTCTTTTTACAGGAAAGATGTTTTCAATGATTGCATTTTCCTCTGTTATTAGTTGAAGCACGCAAAATAATTTCTTGTGGCCAGATTTTAAAATACTGTACACTGAACTGGACAAGGCCTTTTAGCTTTTGTGTCTTTTTGCTGTATTGCAGCCTGTGGGATCAATGTTGTGCTGTAAACAATGAAATACCCAGTTTGTATGCAGCTGTGACATAATGATTTGACAGCTTAATGAAAAGGAATAGAATGGCAACTTAATTTTTAGATTAATGGTCTGCCATCTAAAATATTAGGAAGAGATAGGCAAGTTGGACTAGGCTGTGCACAGAACTAACCAGTTCTTTGTTCCTGGTTCATCATCAACTCATGCACTGACAAGGGATTTGTCACAGACTTTTTGTGACTGCTTTCAGTAAGAATAATAACTTGCCTTCTTCACAGAACCATCAGGAGAGCCATTTCAATAATATACATATACATACTAAACCCAAAACCTCTGCACAGAACACTTATTTCATTTTTCTGTTATATTATCGATGTTTTTAGTCTTCCCAAGGTGGCTTTATTGCATTCTCTGTTTTCATTGCTTTTCCAAACTGTCATTTATAATAAGCAAGGTTTCACTGAACTTGTCCATATGCTTTCTTGAAGGAAGAGGTCTCAATTAGAAGCATATAAATTCAGCGAGGTGCAATTTACCTTTTGGCATTGGATAGTAGGTGCTACACTTTTGAGGGAACAATTGCACTGATATGTGGCAACATTATACATATTTCTGTTGGTCTACAGAATATTCTGCATTTTCTGATGTTGCTTTAAAATTTTTTTCTCCCTTCAACAGCCAGACCAAGATTTTTTTTCCTGAACCACATAAAATCTCAGACAAGCAAGTTAGCATAGCCTCTAACCAAATTCCAGCTTTCTCATTGGAACTGCTTCTTCTTTCCACCTTTGCCATGATGACTAAGTCAGTGCAGTTTTGCTGGAAATGGACATAAACATGAATTCTGACTGATTTCAAAGTAGGGTACTAGTCTTCACTAAAGAAATGGTATATTAATCAAAATGCTAGAAACAGATGTCTTAATCTATTTTAAGGTAAAGATAAAAGAAAAAAAAACCAACTTAAAACAGCAGAAACAAACCAAACAAACCAATCACTTCAAGTAATGATCTCCCTTCCGTATTTTACAGGTTTGAAAAACTTCATTTCTTTACTGACATCTTCCACAGATATTCGGGATCTCCTGAGCTGTTTGTCTTCAGATCTCCAGACTTTTGTTATCAAGGTATAAAATTAATAATTTTAGAATAGAAAGAACGATCACATAATTTTTCCTGCTACATGCTGACTGTCACTAGTCTGCAGGAGCTACATTGCACACTAGCAACCTGACCAGACTGCAGATTTACATAAATACAATTTATGCATGCTGTGGAAAAAGAGAGAATTAATTGGCATACAAAAATTCCATCTGTGCAAACAACTACAAGCATATTTCTGTGCTTATATCCACTCTAGTGATTCCAGTATCTGCTCTCATTTCTTAGACACATATTATCACAGCCCCTAATAAACCAAAATTCAGAAGTAATATGTTGGTATAAATGAAGAGAACACTTCATGGTTCCTTACAACCTTGATTCACCAAACTGTTGACTTTTAGCAAGTACTAAGAACTTCTAGTAGAAAGTCTCTAGCTCTTGTGAAAGTTAAAGTATGACCATCCTCATATATGCACCTTGCAATAGATTACCAACTCTACCACCCCTCTACCGTCACTGACTCACAATTTGTGTCACTGTGTTGGTACTGCTGCATTTCGTTGGTTACCATAACAATTAATTTGGGTTTGGGTGGTACTTAGAGTTTGAGGTTTGTTTCTCCCTTCTGAAGAAGCAGAATAAACTGTGTTTACTTGGCTTAATTATTTACTCTTACTTTTTTCTTTTTAAGTGAAGAATAGTACTTTGCAATTCTGTGGTGCCTCCATCTCACATAACCCTCAGCTACCTCATGGAATGGTATAGAAAAGATAGAGTGGGACTTTTCCTGGGGGTTCACAGTTACAGGCCATAAGGCAATAGACGCAAGTTGCAGTAAAGAAAAGTTTCAATAAATACAAAGGAAAAAAAAATACCATTAGAATAATTAAGCATAGGAAGAGGTTACCTGGAAAGGCTGTAGAATCTTTATACAGGAGATACTTGGCTGGACAAGGCCTGAACTAAGCTGGTGATGCTTTGGACAAGAGATCAGAATAGGTAATATCCAAAGATCTCTTTCAACTTAAGATATTTTAGGATTCTAATGGAAAAAAAAATGCTTGTTGCTTTTTTCACCATTGTATGCAGTTTGTACAGGGAAAACAGTCTGCCACACAATAAGGAATTCTTTTAACCAACTTTATAATAAACCAAGTTTTTTCTTTATCTGCAGCCAAGCAAGAATAAAGAGGCATTTAAAGAGCAGGCATCAGATTTCATGTTGAAATGGAACCTCCTACTGAGCAATGTAGGCAAGATTCTGACCATCAACAGGACAGACAGTTTTGGTAAATAGGATCTTTGTGACTCTAATTTGATATGCCCCATATTGACCTGAGATGGCAGAGGCAACAGATCCAAAAGTACCTAAAGGGGCCAACAAGAGCTGGTGATGTGGTGACAGGACAATGGGGAATGGCTTTAAGCTGAAAGAGAGCAGATATAGACTGGATACTGGGAAGAAACACTTCACTGTGAGGATGATGAGGCATTGGAACAGGTTGCCCAGAGAAGCTGTGGATGCCCCACCCCTGGAAGTGCTCAAGACCAGGCTGGATGGGGCTTTAAGCAACCTCTGGACAGTGCATGGCAGGGGGTTGGCACTAGATGGTCTTTAAGGTCCCTTCCAATCCAAACCACTCTGTGTTTCTGTGGTTCTATGATTTTAACTGACATAAATTCATTTAATAGAGACATCTCTTCTCCCTACTCCTTTTCTTTTATCACCATTCTCCTGGTGATGTGGCTAGACAGGTCAGGGAAATGATTAGTTTTTGACCAAACCAGTTCTCTGAGCAAAAATCTAGGATGAGCAGAAGAGAGGAGAGTAGGATCCTGCAGCTGTAAATGGCAGGAAAGCCATGACTCCCTCTTTTGGCAGAAGTTGTAGTTTGTGGGGAAACGGGGAACAGCAGCCTGAGGTGAGAGCCTCTGCTTTCCCTCCATACAAGAGCTGCACACCACAGCTGAATGGTTTGATGGAGATCTGGGGCCACTAATATTGCAAACTTTGAGCTTTCCAGACATCTCAAGTGATAGTTCTGAGTCCCCCAGGTTCTTTCTGTATAATACAGCCAGAGCAGAGCCACTGCAAGAACTAGTTGCCAAACAGGCAGTTAGTTCCTCTGACAACAGATATATACTCCTCTTACTTATGTCTTACGCTGACCTAAGTGCTTGCCCAGCCAGCAGCACACCTGTTGAAGACATTAAACTGACTGAAAAATAGTCATTTCTTTAGCTGGGTTATTTTTCTCTCCATCTTAGGGCTCTGAGCTGTCAAGCATCAAATCCATCATACACCAGTGCAAGGCAGGAGAAGGGAAAGAACTGTGCAGTTGTGTTCACTCAAAGAGGCTTGAAGTGGTACAAACATGTCTTAAATCAGTCCAGTCTCTACCCTAACTGCCTTTCTCTTCACTTGTAACACCTTGGCAGAGGTGCCATTTCTGCAGAAATGTACTGTCTCCTGTAGGTTGCATCTAATCCCAAACTGTATGAAACACCTTGTAGATTTTCAAAGGACCACTCATATTTTCGGCTCTTCTGTTGGATGCAACTTCATTCAAATAGCCAAAGAATCTCATTATTTGCTTTGAAATATCCCTTCAAAATCATACTTTCAGGCGTTTGCCTGAAATAAATGCATAACAAAGGGGTATGTCAAGATTGTTGCCTTTTGTGTTCTTCAGTATTCTTACCCCATTAATATGTGTTTGTCCATGTATGAACATACCCTTCTTCTGCATCAAGCTGCTACCTTTTGCCTTCTGTTTACTTATAAACTGTCTGGAGCAGGATCAGAGTTTTGCTCTGTGTCTGCAGGGAGCACAGCACAGTAGGGTCCCTCATCCATCAGCTGCTGAATTACAGTAATAGTAAAATAATCAGTTCTTTCTCTTTCTCCAGAGGAGTTCTGCACAAAACTCTCCAATGTTATATGCAATATTTTTGGCAATGAATAAATTGAGAATGCATTCCAAGAACTGCACTAGAAGCATAATGTTTATTGAAATCCCTCATGATGATGAAATCCTCTTTCCACCACAAGAAGAGTTTAATGAATTGTCTCCCTCTTCTGCAGTTTTGTTGATAGATGGGATACAATGGATGGAGTACATCTCTTGGTCTGCTGAGACTTTGTTAAACTAATTATAAATTACATTTTCACCCATTTTATGACAGTTTTCCTACTATACTTCAACTACACTAAAATTGAATTAATTTCAAATATAAGATAAAATATTTTAAATATTTTTTTAATATTTTGCTGTGATGTTTCAATAAAGTGATCATTATTATCTTCTTTCTTTAGTCTTTAAGATGTTATATTTGATCTATCAATGTCCTTTTTTTTTTTTTTTTTTTTTGCATGTTTCTATTCCTTTAGGATACTGAGTTTTAGCAGACAGGCTGAAGCAGTTCTGTTAACAAGCCATCTGGTGTAAAAGTTCTGGGATCATTTCTTTCCAGAAATTTCTTAAATCTCAGCATTTCTTCAAAATATCAACTATGTAGCATCCACACTGAGGAAACACAAAACTTGGGGAAATGCATATCATGTTAACCTAGTAACCAAAACTAATCTTACTTCTGACTTGATCTCTTGCCTTCTAACTTGCCACATCCAACAGACATAATACACTGGCATATTCACACCTCTCAATTTAGCATTTACTTTCACCCTTTTCCAGGCCAGCCCCCACTTGGGTGATGCCCAAGTGAGATCAGAGGAACCCTGCAGTTACCCCTGCTGTAAGGCAGCAGGGAGCAAGTGTGCTAGAGCATTCAGGGCTAATGGGAGCTCTACAGCTCCTTCAGCTCCATCTCCTTTCCAGAAAATGTGCCTCTACACCACCTCCCTCATAGAGTTTCATGTCAGCTCACACACCTCTGTTGCCTTCCAAGGCATGCATTGCTAAGCCACAGGCACTGAGTAGTGAGCTGTGCATTCCTCTTCTGCAAGCAAGATGCTTCAACCTGGTTCCTCTTGAGCTACCACTCAACTGGAGTGGTAGCTTTTGTTTCATGTTTACTCTTACAGAACATATTGAAAACACCTGTAAGACTGTTAAAAACACTCTTGGACTACTAATAACAAATCTATATAGTTTCAACTCCAACTATAAAAATCCCTTTTCTTGTTCCATAAGTAAACAAGGACTTCCTCCTACTTTGTTAGTTTAAAGATTCTCAAAAGGATGAACAGTAGAAGCAGCAGCTTCTCAGACACATATAACATCAAAAGAGAGTATTTTTCATTTTTAAAGCTCTGTAAACTGTGGTCATTAAAATAAATTGTGATATCTTCTTGTTGATGTCTCCATATATACTAGTTTGTGGGATGCAGAGGTTATAAATTGCTTGATGAATTCCTATGCAGATTTATGGCATGGAAGAAGATCTACATTTTACTGTAAGGGCTTTCAACCAAGATATGATTCAAAAGTCAATGGCCCCAGTGAGTCTCTCTTGGCTTTTATCACTTATGGTCCAAGCTGCAAGATGGGCCATTTAATGTCATAGATACAACACACACATATGTCTGTAGGAGGTTTTGCTTGGGAAGAGGAATGATTTATCTGCCTGAGGGGAGAATTGGGATAATATGTGGTTACTGATAAGCCTTATAGTAGAAGTGATAGTGGAGGAGGAACTTGAACAGGAAAGTGAATGAACACAACTTTCCTCTCCAGTAAAATAAGGAAAAAAATTTTCTTTTCTTTAAAATTTGCACTGGTTCCTATTTTTCTGGGATATTTGGAAGTACATAATTTTGTAAGTACTGTTTGATGAGTGCTGGTCCATTACTTTGTCTAGCCTATTATTATAATGAAGCCTTTCAAAAAAGAACACATCATAAAGATAAACAAATTAAGAGGTTGTCATAATCATCTTTGTTTTTCTTTAAACCCAGGATCCTGGCTTTTATTGAATATGCTACTTGTTGATTTTGCTGCTCACATTTTCCAGTCCTATATAGAAGAGGAGAAGGAAGAAGGAAATGCCTTGGTTTCAAAGCAAAATGAGGTCCCTATTCTGTGTGTTTATGAGCCCAGCCATCTCTCAGCCTGTTTTGCTGAGGAGGAACCTGAAGCCAATGCTCCACAGACAGCTCTTGTGATGCAGAACCAGAATAACTTCGGATTAAGCAATGCTTTCCAGAGTTCTGAGTTATTCGGTGAACACAGCCACTGTCAGCAAGGTGAAATTAACATTAACTTGGAAGAAAATTATGAGGAAAAGGTTATAAATTGGGCAAATTAGGACAGATTGGGAGGTGTGTGGCTGACTGGGGTGTTGTATGCATGTAAAGTAGAACTAACAAAATCTAGGTTTGCATGGAGCTGTGTCCAATGTCATTGAAACCTCAATTCACAAAGCATCCTCCACATCCTGCCCCCACCACACAATGATATCAAGGGATTATCAACATCACCCAGCTCCCCAGCACCACAGGGTCCTGATTATTTCCTTAGGTTTCCAGCAGACCCTTGGAGCTCCTTCTGATTGCCCAGGTGTTGTCTAAGGAAGAGCAATGCCGTGCTGGTGGGCTGGGAGTGGGCCATGGGCTAGCTGACAAACAGACTACATGGATTCATTGATCAAAAAAGAGAGGGCACAGTCTGGTCTTTCCTCACTTTTGGAAGCACTGAGAGACTCTCTTCCCTCCACTTATCTGTTACTTTTATCAAAAGATATGAAATATCTTTAGAAATATGAAATTTTTGAGTCCCTTCTGCTCTACCATATTTTCTTGCAGTCAGTCCACTGCTGCAAACTTTACTAGCACAAGGTGTGACATACAGGTAGAAAACAAGATAGACTCTAAGTCTTCTAGAATACAAGGCCAAAATACAAGAACACATGGCAATATGGATCAAACCTCTGTGATTAATGCAAGTAATGAATTAGGCATTCAGCTGTTTTTGTATTTCTCTTCCATGCAGTACGAGCACTTGTCGTATGTCTCAGAGAACATTGTGTTTTCCAGAAAACTGTGAAAGAGAAATGTTAATGGCACCAAGACTTACAGAGAAAATTATGTTTTGGGGGTGACATTACTATAGTTTTTTTATTCCCAAGAGGTATTCAGTTTCCATACACTAGCACAGGAGTGGAAAATGACTGTTTTAAAAACATCTTTATTAATTATAAAGACCTTTAGGGGACCCTAATTTGTTTAAATATAAAGTATGCTAAGACTAGTTCAGCAAAGAAAATTGGAGAGGAGAAAGCAGGCATATAGAGGACAAACCAAGAATTATTTATACATGTGATGGGCATGTTTGACAGCTTTGGTTATTTTTCAATGTAAAATAAATACCCATCCTGCCATATCACCTTTATGTCAAGATGTAAACTGCTGCTGGATGCTGACAATTTGCAGGAGAGCTCTAAATCAGTGATGGTCAGAAATGAGGAAATGAACTACTAGAAATTTTATTCAGTATCTGCCCATTTCCTGTGCTCTTCACTCTGCTGCCTTTTGTATGCCCTATGCCCATTGCAATGGTTTTTGCAGGGGTCATCAAAAAAGGGCTTGATTCAGGTTTGGTCTGTGTAAGTAATGTGCTTATGCTTTGAACTTTTTGTACCTGATCACAAGAAAAGAGCAAGGCTGATTACAGTGAGGGATGAGGAATCATCCCTTTCAGAATAAGAGGGGAAGGGTGTAAAATGTGAAATGAGGAGTATAAGGACTTGGGAGAAGGTGTGGTTGAGGCAAGGACGCAGTGAACAACTGAGAAAGTGCAGAAGTTTACAGATCAAAGAACCCAACAGATTATGGATTCTACCAGTCCCTGTTCAAGATGCTAATAACTGGGATGAAAAAGATTCTAGTTAGCACCTGTCATGTTGCAGTTCAAGTGCTTAAATTTGTGATGGAGTCAAAAACTTGAACCTGCAGCTCAGAAGGGCTTCAGGAGCTGTGAGAGAGTGAGTGAGCACTTCTGCCCATTCATGTTCTTCAGTTGGGTGGTGCTCCCACCTCTCCCATTGCAGATTCCTTCTTTTGTATATCAACAATGATGCCACGGATTGCTGAAAAACACAATTGCCAAAAGCATCTCTAACACCTATAGCTTTGTTTGTATTGTCATCTCTGTAGATCCTCTGACAGGATTTCCATTCCATGAGGATTTTTGTTCTGTGACTTTTGACCACCAAAAATCATCATCATTCTTTCAAGGAACCATCTGTCCCTGCTCTTGACTAATCCCCCTTTGGCCACAGCTCTTTCTGCTGGGTATCTAAACCCTCAGCATCCACCAGCCACACTGCTGTTTCTTGGATCACATTTCTGCTCCCTGATGTATTGCTCAGGTTTATTTCATAAGTTTTGCTTTTAATTCCTTCACCTTAGGCAGGCTTGGCAGCTTTCTGCAGCCCAGAGCTTTTCGTCAGTTCCCATCCTCCACTCCATCCATTGCCAGCACCACCCAACCTCTGTAGTTTTTAATCTTGTTTCACAAGGCATTTCTATGCCTTCTCTACAGCCTGTTATGCTGTGGAAAAAAAAATCTGTTCATCACACCTCCACACTCAGCTCTTTGAAATTAGTGTTAACCACTTGGTCTTGCTGCAAAACCCTGGGAAAATATGAGGGAGGACTGGTAACAGAAATCAGAAAAGAATCTCCCAACCTTACCCTGATATCAGCAGCACCAATATGTGTGGCTTAGCAGATCTCTTCATGATCTTTTAGTTGTCACCTTCATTCTTCCTCTTCCTTCTCCGTCTGTTTCTGGTCTTCCATTCCTAGTTGATGCTGAATATAAATTAGACTCCTCAGCAGAGAGACAATTTTTTCCCATTTATTTTGCACAGCGCAGTACATTTATGAATCTTATTTTTAAATATAGTTTAAATAATTAATACATAGAAGTAATAAATAGAGTTAGTAGTCTTAAAAACAGGATACATTCCTGGTTGGTGGCATCTCTTGAGGAAAACATTGGTTTTATATGAAAAAAATATAGAGGGCAGGGAGCAAGACAGTCGAAGATTTGTACACACTGGCTTAGCAGGGAAGTGTGGCAGATGAAATGCTACAGAGCCAAACACACACATAGTAGGAACTCAGAATCCATTAAACCGGTGGCAGTATCAGAGGTGCTCTGAACAAGTCATAAGCTATAAAAATGCAGCACAGAGAGCAGTGGCCAGATCTTTATTCCTTATCAAGGAGCTTGCAGTTGCTTTCTCTCAGCATGAATAGCATTTTTTTTCATCTAGAAAATCCCATTCTAGGCTTCTGCTTTTTGTTCACTTGTTACCAAATTAAAATCCTATTAAACTGCACACCTGCAGTGGCAGAGCACTGTGCTGTAGCTTTTAATCCAATTCTACACCTTCATAACATACAATACACTGCAAATCAGGGCACGAAGAGACTGAGGGTATGCTATTCCTAGCTCTGTTGGCAGAGAGCAAATCAAACATTTTGATTTGTTAACAAGGGAGAAAAAAATAGGACATAGTTAACTACTTGGCTTGTAGGAATGGTACATGTTCATCTGAGTAGTCTGTATAAACCAGGATACAGACATCAAGTGAAATCATTAACTAAAATGATCAAAAAATGAGAGCAAAATCATGACCCTGATTGAATTCAGTGTCAAAACTTCTGCTGACTTTAAGAAAGCCATAATTTCAGCATGAAAAAGCAGTCCCCATCAGGAGAGAGACAGGCTGAGACTGTGTCAGCTGTAAGCCCTTCTATTCATTTTCAAAACAAAGTGTGAGAAGTGTGAATGATGTATTCAAAGTGGATATGCTCTTTTGTCAGACCTTTGCCATCCTATGATGAACTCCAATGTATGCTTCCCCTTGTTGGGTTTATTTGATGTAAAATAAGGCTGGATATCTATAAAATACCTCCAGTTCAGCAAGTAAGAATAGAGAAAACTTGTTTCAATGAAGGGAGAAACAAATGATTCACAATTCCTACAGTCAAAACATTTTCATGTTTCTTTTCTAATCTAGGTAATTTAGGAAGAGAAAATTATTATATCATGTACTAAGTTGGATCTTCAAGTTGGAAAGGAAACATTTCTTACTCAAAAAGATGAAATGATATCTCTTTGCCTCCGATGAACAGCAAATCTTCAGAGAAAAGCATCCTGGCTATAGCATTCTATATGATATGCCATTCTTACTTTTTGATAAAACTTTAAAAACGTCAAGAAATACTGTTTTCATTCTCTTAAACTTAAGATTTTTTTTTTTGTTTGAAAATATGAAATGCAAAACTGGGCTAGCAATGCAATTATTTTGTCATGTGATTTGATTTAGATTATTTTAATAAATTTTCAGAAGATAAAAGTGAAGCACTTGTGGCTTGGTTTTTTGTATTTCTTGTATATTTCTGTTGTCAGTAAAGCTGAAGACCTACCTGAGGTAGGTAAATCATCCTGAAGCTACAGCAGAAATGAACGACTCTGTGTTAATGCTGCTTTGTGTCTATGGTGTATAATCTAAAATTTATATTTGTTGAATATAAAACCTAGCACTGTTTCCTGTCTTTAGAAATTCCTGCTTTGTTTACCATTTTTTCAGGATATGAAAGTGAATATCTCACATGTAATTCTATTAACTGAAATAAAATAGGCTGTACATAATATTACTATTTTATTATGTTCAAAACTAGGTTGTTTGGGCTTGTTCTGTAAGTAAAGTACAAGCAAAGACATTTATTAAGAGAAGCTCTGGTATAAATTCATAGAAAACAGTAAATACAAACTATGAGATTTATATCTTGCATGCATCAGATTGTGTGAGGAAATTCCCTGAAACACCAGGGCAATGGGGGGTTTAACTATTTTTGAAGAGCATGCCTGCAGTGAGTTGTCTGTGCCTGGTTGCTATTTCAAGAAGGCACAACTGCTTTGATATTTTAAGAAGGGATATATCCTGAATCAGAGAAAAGCTCTTGTCAGGAGGTTGGGAAGCTTTCACTTCTTTTGGGTTTGGAAATCTACATTGATTTTCCACTTGCACCTCCATTCTGTCTCAGCTCAAGCATTGAAGTGGGAATCAATTTTCAGAAGTGTGGTAGTGCAGCAGATGTAGACAGGGCCATGTGCTAAAGGAAAAGGTTGTCATGTATTCAATTCTGCAGATAAGATTAAGAGTTTGGTGCCAAAATTACATTTTCATGGGAAGTATCTTCACAATCAGAAAAATTGATTTGAGTCTTAAGGCCCATTACACCCATTTCCACTATTCCTCAGGTTTTTATGGTGAAGAAAAAAAAGCCAGGAGTGTAGGAAAAAATACAAGTTAAAATATTCAGTGTTCTCAAGTCCACCTTTATTTATAAGATTTTAGATTCTAGATTATATATACCTGTTCTCATGGCACAATTAAGCAGAAGTTGTATCAGTGGACTGATCTTGGAATCTGTTCTTCACAGATATGAAAAAAGTAAGATGTACCTGAGAACATATTTTAGATGTACCTGAGAACCTTCTGACAAGCAAAGGCTTCTGAGAGATTCATTCTTCCCTGTCTCCTATTGAACCTGTGTTCCTTAAATAATTTGCATGAATGCAATGAAAGTTTACAAGCATATGTTTTAAAGAATTACAACTTTGCATAGCCATATTGAAGAGGTCTACTGCCAAGAAAGGAACTGGATGCACATGTGCCTTTATTAAATTGGGCTGTTGATATAAACTCATATACATGCAAATCTTTGCCTAATTAAAACCTCGCCTGGAAAACGTTTAATCGCAGCTCCATGTGTTTGCATACCAAAAAAGCATCCTTGCAAGCGCCGAACTAATGCTTCCTGCCAGGTCCAAATTGGGGTTTTGCTGGGACTTGACCCCAGTGCCCAAACGAAGCTTTCCCTGCAACGAGAGTGTTCACATGGACATCCTTCCTCTTGGATTGTCTCTTTTTTAATAAACGGAGAGGTCGCACCGCCTCCGCCCGAACAGCTCCATCCTCTTGGTTTTGTGGTGCGTGTAGCGAGCTTAATACGTGAGATACCTGCTGGACCGTGCACCTGAACCGGGGCTCCAGCAGTTTCCCGTGCTCCCCGAAGCGACAAAGGCAGGATTACCCGGCAGTGGGCTGGGAGCTGCGAGCCCCACGGTGGGAGCAGTGCCAGGGATGTTCCCGGCAGGTGCGAGCGGAGGCTCCGGCACGGCCCGGGCTGCAGGCGGGACACGGAGGGTGAGCGGCTCCGGGCGGTGCGGAGCTGCCGCCAACACGGCGCGCCGGGGCGGGGGCGGCGCGGGGCGGGCGCGGCCGCGGGAGGGCGCGGCGGGAGCGGCGCGGGCGCTGCCGCTGAAGATGTCGGCGCGGCGGCCGGGGCCGGGGCCGGGGCCGTGCTGGCTGCTGCTGCCGGCGCTGCTGTGCGGCGGCGCCGCGGGGTACGTGGTGGTCAGCTCCGTGTCGTGGCCGCTGCCCGAGGCGGGGGCGGCGGCGGACGAGCTGCACAGCTCCTCCACCGAGGAGGCGCTGCCCGCGCTGCTGGAGGAGGCGGGCGGCCTCTGGAAGCAGAGCTACCCGGCCTCGGCGTACCGCGAGGATGCGGCGCTGGGCTCCGGGCCGGCGGCGCGGCGGCCGGGGCAGGGGGCCGCCCCCTCCAGGATGTTCTCCTACCGGCGGGAGGGCGGCGGGGCGCCGGGACGCGCCGGGACCGCCCGCTTCCTCGCCCGGCACAACACCTGGGGCTTCGTAGCGACGCGGGCCGCCCGAGGAAAGGTACGGGGGGTGCCCGCCGTGCCCGCGGCCCCCGCGCCACTCGGCACCCGCCGGACGGCAGCGGCAAAAACTCCGGAGGAGAAATCCTGCTCGGAGCGCAGGGAGGGAGGATGCGCGCTAAAAACCGCACCAGAGAGACACCAAAAAAAGCAAAATCTCTAGGCCGGGAGGCAGAGCTGCATCGCAGGGTTTGGAGAGGGGCTGTTTCAGGAGGATGAAGAAGAGAAGGAGGAGAGCCTGTTGGGCTACCACAAAATCTGCCCGTCCGTCCAACTATACCAGCTTAAAGGACAATTTCTCTGTCAGGAACATTAAACAAAATAGCTGGGCTATACCGGAGAATTGGGGTCATTATTTTTTCCAGCTTTAAAATATTTCCTTTTTTAAAGTGAAACGTTGGGATGAGATGCAGCATCCAGTACCACTCAGACAAAAGGGAAAAAAGAGAAATAAAAAAAATAAAAAAATTTTAAAAAAAAAGAACCCAAACCCCCCCATTCTTAACTTTCTGTTGAAAGTATGGACAGATTAATTAGTTTACAATTTTAAATTAAACTTAGAAGCACGTAAGTCTTTAGGAAGCTTGGTTGAGTTAGTGGCAGTAAATGTTACCGTGAAATACAAAGTAACAGATTGAAAAAAGATACTATTAAATTAATTTGTACTTGGAAGAGGCCTGTAATTCTACATCAGCTTTTGGAAATCCTATTAAACCACATGATCGTAACTCTTTTGGTTTGTGCCCTCGCCAGAAACCCTCAGTGGAATTACAGCCATAATATAATCTGCAGTTATCTGCCTCCAGACAGAACACAGAAGTAATACAGAAGAATCTGATTCATGATAAAATTTGAAATTCGGGAGGTGGTGTTTGCTGCTTTGAATGCTGAGCTATGCTGCCTGTGGTCACAAGTATTTTTGTGAATTCAGAGTAACATTAACCTTGCATGACAGACTGGGTATTTTAAGCAATGGGAACACGTCCTGCAATACTACTGAGAGCATTTTTAAAATTGTAACTCTTAATAATAAACAAGGATTTTTATTTTCTATGTTACGTAATATCATTAAAGCATTACTTCTCAGGAAAGCCAACAAAGACCATTTATAAGCACTATAAGTATTAAAATTTTAAAGGCTTTCTGATTTTAGACATTAAGAATCAGAAAGCATGCCACCCAGGTAACAACATCATCCAGGGATTTCTTAACTATTCATATCTAATTTGATTTTGTTGTTAAAGATTTAATGCATTGACAGATAATTTTACTGTTTAACATCTAATAGACTATGAGGAAAAATATCAGAAGACATGAAAAAAGGAGTAATTAATTGAATATCAGTCATTGCTATTTATAATGGGATGACAAGCATAGTAGGAGTATACATTATTGTGAAGCATATTAATGAGTGTCACTACTGGGCAAGGACATTTTTGCAGGCATTATAACCACTGTTTGCACATAAGGCAGTGTATGAGAGAAAATCTTCTTGAAAACTTGGCTCCTTAGTGTCCCTTCTCTGACATTGGTTGGCTTGGTAGTTGAGACACCCTTTCATCAGAAACCTGATGTTCCTGCCCAGGAAGCTGAGCTGATGTCCAGTTTGACTTCAAACCCAACTCTAGCTAAAATGCTTTCTTTTTTGTTATTGCAAACCTATGCAATCTCATTGTAAGTCACAAACAAAAGACGAGGCAATATTAGAGTAAAAATCAGGCTAAATTAAGTTTTATATGTTTTGGGCTTGAGGAAAGGTACCAGCAGTGATTTACAGTAAATATTTCCTGATATTGATGGCAGGAAAAAAAGATATTCATGCATTTAAATACTTTAAATTTGGTAGTTCCTTTAAGCTTAGTGGAAGAGAAAATGTTCTCTATAGTGTCATGGTCAGGACTAGAGAGAAGAAACTGAGGAGAGATCTGTTTTCATAGAAGCATGATAGGTGTAATTTAGAGGAGGTAGATCTAATTTAGAATAAATGCTCTCTCATGATGACAACAGAAGGACTGGCTGTTCTCTCTGCTGGAGCCCTTCAGGGAATCCCCCACATTGAAAACTGTTTATATGCAAAGATGTAACCATTGCTTATTTGTATTTTGCAGATCCAAGGTATGCCCTATGGGAACTGTTTACTTCTCAGTGATGGTCCCATCAATAACAGCACTGGAATCCCTTTCTTTTATGTGACACCAAAGGATAACACCGTGACAGATCTTCTGAAGAACCCCATGGCTTCTCTGACCCTGCCAGAGGCAGATGGAAATTTCTGCAGGTAACATTTTATCTGCCTCCTACCACCTTCAGTGAGAACAGAGACCTCAGAACAGAATGCTGGGTCCACACCTTCAACGTCCTGCATTTATTTTTGACTCTCAGGATCAGCTACATGCTCATTCCTGCATTTTTCGGTTGGTTGGGGGTTTTTTTTGTTTTTGTTTTTGTTTGGTTGATGTTTTTTGTTGGGGTTTTTTTTGGCAGTAAATTCCCGTGGTATAGTAGAGAAAAGCAGAGGTGTAACTGAAGTATATTGTAGCATCAACAGCTAGAGTGGCTTTCAGCTTGAACATTAACATACCTAAATTTTAATCTCTTCTTGGAGGTGCTTCCATAAAATCTGGGTGTTCAAGATCCTATAATAGTCTATAGTGATCTAGCCAATAAAATCCATAGAGTTTCAGAGGCTATCCAATTCACAGTAAAGCAGGCATCTTTGCTCTGCTGAAAACTCTGGAGGTGCTGCTGAATGCCTTGACAGGGCTCCAGCTCTCTGAGTTCTGTAAGAGGATCTCTGGCTCTCAGTTCACAAGTTATATATTCAGGCCTGTGACACTCCATCTGATTTCCACCTCTTCAAAGAATATGGTGGAATATGATATCTTTGCAAATCTTTTACACCTTGTATATCACAGTCAGTCAATTACCCCCCAAATAGAGAAATCTAGGTGTGAGGTTTACCGATCTACATTCAGTCCCCAATTCTTCTCTCCAGAGACACCAGTGAGTTGACTTCATCTTAATCATGTCATAGAATCTTAGAATCTCAGAATGGTTTGTGTTGGAAGAAACCTTAAGGGCCATATAAGTCCAACTCCCTGCCACAGACAGGGACAACTTGAACTAGATCAAGTTGCTCAAAGCTGCATCCAGTCTGGCCTTGAACACTTCCCAGGATGGACCACCCACAGCTTTTCTGGACAACCTGTTCCAGGGTCTCACCACCCTCACAGCAAAGAATTTCTTCCTAACATCTAATCAAAACTTTCTCTCTTTTAGTTCAAATCCATTATGCCATTGTCCTGTCACTACATGCCCTTGTGAGACATCCCTCTCCAGATCCCTGGTAGGCTCTCTTTAGGTACTGGAAGTCTGCTTATGAGGTCTCCTGGAGCCTTCTCCGGGCTGAACAACCACAACTGCTCAGCCTGTCCTTGTAGGAGAGGTGCTCCAACCCTATGATCATCTTCATGGCCTCCTCTGGACTCACTCCAACAGATCCATTTCATTTTTTGCTTATAATGAATAACTTCAGATCCCCAAAGCTCTACATGTGCAAAATGTATGTATGTAACCCCAAAGATAATTCAATTTTCCCTCCATTCTTGTCTCCTTGAAAGAGACATATCTCTACCATATGTTTGTTTACAGGCAATCATATTGCAAACTTGGCTGGGTCAGCCTTGTGTGAACTGTTATTAACAAAGGCCTCTTTACGTGACAAGGTACATGACACCAAAATTGTGTCAGACAGGACTCTGTTACCAAAGCAGGTCTTAGCTGATGTTCCAAGGAGAGAGAGAGAACTGGTAAGAACAGACTCCTTCAGAAAGAAATGGCATTAACAGTTTGTATTCCAACTTAAGGTCCTCTTTGGGGAAGGAAAGGTTTTCTCTTAAGACCAGATTTCCCTAGATGAGGATTGCCTTGAGTATCATCCCACCTCTCAAGCCTGCCAGCTGCGAAGAACCCTGGGAAAAGCAGGGAATGGCAAATATAAAACATTACTGTTACACTTGTCTGTATTTGTCTTCAGAGAGAGTTTGTTTCTAGAGAGTTATATGGCTGGAAAATTAAATGTTTCTTAGTCCAAAGCAGTACAAGTGAATTCAGGCTGACATCCTATTCTCAAGGAATGGAAATCATGGCTTCCTCTTACAACGTCAAACACCTAATAGGAAACTTCTATCACCAACATTTGCTAAGGTAATTCAGTCTTGAATGCTTGAGGAGGTCAGTGAAGTAGTGAAGTTAACATTGGAATGGTTCTGCTTGTTGCTTAAATATTTCCATTAAATATTTTGGATTAATAATTTAGAAAATAAATATATCTGTTCTTTCACTGCAGGCTTAATGGCGTTTATTCCTGCTTTCTGAGCTTTTTGATTCAGTCTAATAGTAAACTTACTATCCAGACCAAGAGCTTAAAAATGTATTTTAAGTCCTATGTCCTACTACTCCATGCCCTATTTTCAGAGGCCCAAGACTCAGAGAAGCTTCCCTTGATGATAAGTGGTAGTGTTGAGCACTTCTGAAAACCACACACCCACTTAGGCACTTAAGTGTGGCCTTTGATCCCTAACTTTAAACAGCCACTCTTGCAAGTCTTTGCCTTTCATGGCTTGGCAACATCACTGCCCCATTTACCTGTTTGGGAAGAGCCAGTCCACCAACAAAAGAGAAATGCTGCATGATTTATAGAACTATGAAATCCATATACACCACAAACCTTTGAGGATATTTATTCAATGTCTTTTTATTACATCACTATTAATTTTCAAATCCCTACCCGTTTGATCAGTATGCCAGATATTTGCTGCTGCTTGTTTTGCAGCCAGGGCAACCTGGATTCTGCCACCCGATTCTCCAGTCCCCTCTGCAGCCTGTGACTGTGCTCTCTGATGAGAAGAGCTCTCTAGGCACCACCAAGAAGCTAAATCTGGATTTCCAAAACAGCTTAGCCCAAACTAATTACCATTTGCCACATCCCTACTTTCCCTCCCTACCACCAGTCATGTGCTACCCTGCCCCCCACCAGTTCTGGGCTTTGCCTCAACCTGAGCTGAAACATAAATGTGAAGAAAATTATCCTGACAGCAAGAATAAGTTTTTCTGACGATCCTTCTTCTTTTCATCCTGTGGCCAGTACTGCTCCTGGCCATGCAATCCTACCTTCTCCCTCCAGCTGACCATATGGCAGGCCTATTTTAGCTCAGTAACCCAGCAGAAACCTCTTGAGTTTTTTTTCTGGATGAGATTTCTACTGCCTTAGTAAATTGAATCAGCTCCTCAAGAGCCAGAGAAGAGCAAAGGAGAGGGGAAAGGAAAAGAGAAGGTGGTAGAAAATAGAATATTCTCATTTTAGCATGTAACCATACTCCAAATATTGATCTTACTACTGAATTGAGCATACAGGTTCAGAGCTTGATCAGTGCTCCATGCACTATTTATTTTGTTTTTACCTTCAGTTTCTTTTTCATTATTTCTGAAGTTTCATCTGGAACAGATGTTGGTTGGCATTAGTGCAGAGGACAAGCAATACGGACAATGAAAAGCTGGGTCTTTACTTGAGCTACAATTTTTGTTTTTGACAATATGAAAATGTGAGCAAGCTTGGAGGCTATCTCTCAGCAACAAAGGGTATAGGCACTGGGCTTTACCTTTCTTCTCTTCCCTTCCCCTATTACCAGGGTCAGAAATTAATGTATGTTTTAAACTAGGAATCTGTGAGCGATTTTTACATTTAAAATCAGCAACATCTAAAATTGCAGCCCGGCACACCACCCCACTGTTACCTCACAGAAAGGGCCTCTGCAGGCAGTGCAACACTGAAGAAAACAACAAGGTTTGCTGTTTTCTAGGCCCTGCTGCCAGTGCTTGGGGTGGCCTGTCCCCAGCTTCAGGGTGCACTTGACCTGCTGAGATAGGCAGGCTGTGCCATGCAAACAGGACACAGCATCCTCAGCGCACAGCTTTATGTGGTGGCTCAAGTTCGGTATTGCAAAAGTCTTCTTTACTAGCGCTATATGAGAGGCAAGACCTCTCTGTGACACCTCAGGTCCTGCTAGTATTAAAATGGTATCTGTGAGGTTTTCTTTGCAAAGCAAAGTGTCATTCTTGTCAGACATCCTCATCAAGTGCATCATTAATTGTTTTGGTTTCAAAGTAATTATGTAAAATTGCTAAATGAATAATATTCTACATGAGAAAGTTCATGCCCTTGTACGCTGGCAATGCATTTGTAGCTTGTTTTCATGTGGAACTTTATTAGAATTCCATTATTAATCTACTCTGAGTTGCAAGAATCAAAATAAATGTGAAAGCTGATTGGTGCCTGTAGCCAGTGCTCCTGGGAGTATTTGGCACTCTCCTGAAAAATGCTTCTGACCTATTGCATGCAAAAGAAATCTCTGGCCTTTAGAAAGAAAACATAGCTGACATTTCAATGTCTTCGTGCACCTAATGAGTTTCAAGTGACTTGTGTACTCCAATTTGATATTAAATTTATTTAGTAGCAAATTTCATTTGTTTTGTTTCAGAACAGACTCAAGTTCCAAACCTTGACAATCAATATTTTCCCTTTCAAGGATGTGAGAAACACAGACTGGCCTTTATGGTGCTCCAGCCTCAATATTTAATCAGCTGGAGAGAAAATCTGAAAACCCTAAACTAATAAGAAAAATAACATTTAATATTGAAAGAAAGAGAGCTGCCACACATCTGACTAGGCACTAATTGCAAGACATTTTAGTATTGCAGATAGGGTTTGGATTCCTCATCTCTGACCTAGAGATTGCCATTTCCCAGAGGGAGATGGGCTGCCCCTCTTTGAGAAGGCTCTGATGGCCAGGATAGAGACAGCATTTGTTAGCAACTACACAGCATTTTATCTGAAGGCTGATAAATGGATAACAGAGGATAGAAAAATTAAATGGTTCAGGGCTATAAATAGACTAAGCTGGTATGTCTATGCCACTGACAAGCTGAAAAGATTGAGTTCCATTCTTGCAGCTTTCAGAGGGAGCAAGACCAAGCCCGACATTAAAGAATAGAGCAGCTATTGTTCTAAACACATTTCACAACACACAGGCTGCTCAGAGGATTCCTCTTTCCAAGTAAGCTCCTGAGTCTGCCTCATTACAGCTGCAGCCTGGAAAACAGGCAATTAATTTTAAATGTGTGTCACCTCCTTGACATCAGGTTCAGCACATTCACAGGGACACACTGCATCTTTCTTGGAGACAGAGAGGTTACATGGCTGCCATGAACTGGTTTTCA